AATATCTTCCATTGTCCAACCCATGATCTGACAGCTTGTATCTTAAGCTTTCTTGGCTTCTGTGATTCCAAAAACATCGACTGCTGACATTTTTCTTTTGACCAGTGTCTCTTAAGTTTAGTTGTACTGTCTCCAAGGGAAGTTGACGTGTCCTGTAGAACTCCTGTGTAGATTATGTTTTCCTTTCTGGCCCAAGGGCCTCTTTGCTGTTAACCGAGGTGACCTTGCCCATTTAAGATAAATATTATTCCTATTTTAGAAAAAATGCTCTAATTTATTTACTGGTTCATATACTAAATAGTGTAGCTGTGAGACATTAGATCTGCAAAAGATTTAATGCAAATACCCACAGTATTTACATTTTTGTCATCATTCCTAATATCTTAAAATGAAAAGGTCTTTTTGCCTTATCTAATTGAAGACATTTTGAAAGAAAATGTCTAACTTTCCCATATCTAATAGAAGCCCTGGTAGCATAACAGTTCAGTACTTTGTTGATGAACAAAAAGTTGGTGATTCAGAGCCAGTAAGCTCCACAGCAGAAAGATTTGGCAATCTGCTCCCACCAAAAAAAAAAAAAAGCTGTTAATGTAAAATCAAGTCCAGCCCAAGGACGTTTATAAATAACAAACACAGACAATATTATGTTTTTATGTACCATCGAGCTGGAACTGACAGCTGACCCTTCTGTAGGTTTTTAGAGGCAGTAAATTGCGCAGGAGGAGACTGTGTTTCTCTCATGGAGAATGTGGTGGCTTTGATCCGAGAGCATTAGGGCTGGTAGCTCCTTTCCAATAAACCACCAAGACCCCAGTTATCTTTTTAGTCAGTGAGTTATACCAGAAACGAAATTGTGGAATTCTTTAATATATGACATAGTCCATAGCAAGTTGTGCTGCTAACACAAAGATTGTGCATCTCCAGGGGTCTGAATTCTCCAGTGGCTCCTTGGGGAAAAGATGGGAAGGCATCTCCTGTTGCAATCTGCAGTCTCAGAAACCTGATGGAGCGTTGCTATTGGTCAGAACTCAACAGCAGTGAGTTATAGTATTATTATAGCACCTAATCTAGGCCAGTCTTAGCAATTACTTGCTATGCATCAGAGTTGGACCATGACTAAGGATAAAAGAAGAATTAATGCCTTTAAGGTGTAGTGCTGGAGAAGAGTCTTAAATATACCCTGGACTGCCAAGAAAACAAGTAAGTCTGTCTTGGAGAGGGTGAAACCAAGTTTCTCCTTGCAAGCTAGAATTTTGAAGCTCTATTTCACATACTTTGTGCACATGGCCAGGAGGGAAAAGTCCTTGGAGAAGGACATCATGCTTGGAAGAGTGGAGGGACATTCCAGGAGAGGAAGACCCTGGATGAGATAGACTGATACAGTAACTGGGGTAATGGGAACAAGTACGTCAGAGTCAGTAAGACTGGCTCAGCATAGGGCAGGCTTCAGAGCTGTTGTACATAGGGTCGCTGTGAGTTGCAGGTGACTTGAAGCACATAACAATAACAAGGGTTTATATTATGAGAGGACCTGGGTGGTACAGGTGAGTAATACATCTGATTGCTAATCTAAGGGTTGGAAGGTCAAGTATACATAATAATAGTGCTTTCAGAAAAATGGCCTTGCAATCTAGTTCTGGAAAATCAGTCTCTGAAACCCTATGGAACACAGTTCTACTCTGACACACAAGGAGTAACTACAAATTGGAGGTAACTCAATGGAAATTGGTTTTTAAATACATTATTAGCTACGTAAGGATATCTGTACCAGGAGAGAAAGAGAGAAAGTACATACACATGTAGCTATTCAGAAAGAATCAAGAAAAGAACATTTTCTTGTTCCACTCTATTCCTTTTTCTTCATTTAGCTGGAAATCCTTGCCAGTCTTTCTGAATTGCCCTCTCTACTGTGCAATTTTTGTTTTCTCCAGAATTTTCTTCTTCTTATTTCTAAATCTTCTAAGTATTTATAATTAACAGGAGAGCTCCAGCTTATATTCACTGCTAGGAAAGGGAGTGCTAGAGAATTAATTACCAGCAAAAACCTGAGAGAAAGCTGAGAAGATGGGAAGAGGACAGCAATAACTGGCAGCACAGTGACACCTGCACCCAGAAAGCTGCACTGCAATCCTCTACCATTTAAGGGCAGACTTCTGCCATTCCTCTGCCACTGCAAAGAGAGAAGTTACAATACACTTTATTCTCTGCTTCAATGAATCACTCTTTTTGATGTTATAATATCATTTTTATTGCATTCGAGTACATCTGCAATAAATATCTTGAGTGTCAGGCCCTGGTTAAGTAAAATTCATCTGTACTATCAATCTGATTTCTCTGGCACAATTCCATTGCCAGCAATGGAATATATCAAAACTACAAATGCCAGCACATTGTATATTTTAATACTGTATACAGTCATTCATATCTAAATAGCTACGAAAAAAACAAAAAAGTAAATGCTTAATATACAGTACAAATAATAGATTCTTCACAGAAGAAAACAATAAGAGACTAATTTTCTATGTCACCTGTTCATTAGCTCTTCAATGATATTATTTAGGTTATTTTAGAGATAATTAAATTTATATGCCACTACCCATATTCCCCTAATGTTTTTGATGTAGGTTCTAAAGGGAATAAATAAGGATGCACATGGTGAGCTTAATTTTTTATAAATTCGTGATGTTTCTTTCTTTTCTTGTGCATCTTACAGTAATGAAAAAATGGACACAGGACAAAGGTACGTTTGGATCATTAACCTTTTTTTGGAGGTTTTCCCCGCCCCATGCCACCCTCCTAGATCATTAATGTTTTTGAAACTTTACTAAACAGATACTTGTTTATATGGGTAGTGCAAATGACAAGATAAAATAACAAAGTTTGATAAGCTTATCCAGGTCCTGTGGACTTCAGTCTACTATAACTTGAATCAATCATTATTTATTTGTTTAAAAAACGCTTTTAAAAAGCTGGAAATCTTACCAACATAACTAAATCATTCTTTATTACAGATTTTTTAGTCCTGAGAAGATAAATTATGACACAATTCCCCAGTCTCACTGACTCTTTTAGAGGGGAAATTTCTGTGGTAAGGGTTTCCAAACTCTTTTTAAAAAAGAATTTCCAAACTCTTTTAAAAAAAGAATTTTGTCCATTGAACGGTCATCACTCTACACTTCCTTTTACCCAAGGCATAGATCCTGGTGCTTCTTTTTGAGGTTTAGTTTCTGGAAAGTTCTCAGCAAACCTCTCTCGTGCTTTGTCCCAGTTCTTTTTGCTCTTGTTTTGGAGAAGCTGAACATCTTCAATTGAGGATGATTTCCCTGTCCCCAAGCCTGCATGTGTCCGCCGAAGCTGAAGCTGAATCTGGTACCGAAAGTTAAAGAGAAGATGAAATTTAGAGTCCAAACACATATTTTGAATTCTCTTAAATTAGTTCTTTGAAATGCTACAGAATGTTATCATACTATTCTCAGAAGTAAAGGAAATGGTCATATTTAAAGCTATTGTTAAATCCTTATATAAGCATACATATAGGTTGAACATTAACATGGAAGGAGATGTTCAATTTCTCCCTCAAAGGAGTAGGTAGACCAACTCTTTACTCAGAGTATGTATGTGTAAAAATATAATATAAAATAAAAATATAAATAAATACATAATACATAAATATAAATAAATACATAATACATACACTGTTGTTGTTATGTGCTGTTGAGTCGCCTGTGACTCACAGTGACCCTAAGTACAACAGCTCTAAACCTTGCTCTGTCCTGTGCCAATCTTATTGTTTCTAATACACCAACTCCCATTACCCCAGTAACTGAATCAATCCATCTCATCAAGGGTCTTCCTCTCTTGTGTTGTCCCTGCACCCTCCCAAACATGACATCCCTCTCCAAAGACTGGTCCTGCCTTACAACATGCCCAAAGTATGTCAAACGAAGCCTCAGAATCCTTGTCTCCAAGGAACAGCCTTCTCTAGGACAAACCTGTTTGTTCTTCTAGCAGTCCCTGTTATATTTAATACTCTTCTCCAGCACCACAGCTCAAAGACAACAATTCTCCTTGTAACAGTCCTAGTCATTGTCCAGCTTCCTGACACATAGCAAGTAATTGCAAGGACTGTGGCCTGGATCAGGTGTAACTTAGTCTCCAGAATAACATCATTGCTGCTCAGTACTTTGAAGAGGTCTCTGACAGCAGACTTTTCCAATGTAATTTGTCTTTTAATTTCTTGACTGTTAGTACCAAGAGTGTTGATTGTAGAGCCAAGCAAACTAAAGCTTTTAACAATCTCATTTCACCTACTACTCAATTCCTAACACCCTAGATAAGGTTTGGTATGTAGTAAATGCCTATTTCAATAATGAATGAATATTAAAAAATTGCAAGTCTTACCGGGGTTTTCATTCCTCCACCATCCTTGCCTAGGCCCTCTCCTTTTTTCCAACCCATCTTCTCCAACATCTTTCGACCTTTGTTGCTATCAGTAATTTCACTTTAAGAAAAATTAAGATGATAGTTAACTAAAAGATGACATTAATAATACATTAATAAATTTAAAAATAATTTTAGAAAAATGTTAGGCATTACCTAATAAAGCTGAAGACAACCAAATGTCATTCCATTCCTATTTATATACCTAATAGAAAAGCATGCCTATATGCACCAAAAGATATGTATAAGAACGTTCTCGTAGCCACAACCAGAAACTATAAAAAACTTAAATGTCCGAGGACAAAATTGATAAATTACAATAAGCCACACAACAGATTATATGGAAATGAAAATTATACTAAACAAAATATTGACCAAAGATTATAGATTACAAAATAATAATGAATTATTCCATTTACTTAATTTCACTTACTTTCCTAAGTGAAATTAATTTATTGTTACTAAAGTCAAGGTAGTGATTGGTTACCTTTGAGAAGGAGAGAGGGACAATGATTAGGAGGGGGGACAAGGAGGAGGCTTCTGGGTTCCTGATCATTTTCTATTTCTTGATTCTGCAATGTGTAATTTTATGATATATCACTGAGCTGGAAACTTATGATTTGTGTGTGATACATATATATGGATATGTTGTGTTGTTGTTGTTACGTGCTGTCGAGTCGTTTCCGACCCATAGCGACCCTATGCACAACAGCGCTAAACCCTGCTCTATCCTGCGCCAACTGCACTGCCTCTGACACACCCATCCCAATTACCCCAGTCTCCGAATCAAGCCATCTCACAGAGGGTCTTCCCCTCCTGTGCTGTCCCTCTCCAAGGACCCGTCCCTCCTGGCAACATGTCCAAAGTATATCAGACGAAGCCCCAGAATCCTTGCCTCCAAGGACTAGCTTGGTTTAATCCTCTCCAAGATGAATCTGTTTGTTTTCCTGGCAGTCCATGGTACATTCAGTACTCTTCTCCAGCACCACAGCTCAAAAGCATCCACTCTCCTTCTGTCCTCCCTAGTCATTGTCCAACTCTCTGATGCATAATAAGCGATTGCAAAGACCATGGCCTGTATCAGGTGCACCTTAGTCTCCAGAGAGACACTGTTGCTCCTGAGTACTTTAGAGAGGTCCCTAATAGCAGACTTTCCCATCGCGATATGCTTTTTGATTTCCTGACTGCTGGTGCCAAGAGTGTTGACTATGGAGCCGAGCAAACTGAAGCTGTGAACACTCTCAATCTCTTCGTCATCCATCCTGACGCTGCCAATTGGTCCAGTGGTGAGAATCTTTGTCTTCTTGACATTGAGCCTCAGTCCATACTGAAGGCTGCAGTCCTTGACCCTTCGCAGAAAGTGTATGAGGTCCTCCTCAGTTTCAGCAAGCAGGGTTGTGTCATCTGCATAACGGAGACTGTTAATAGACCTTCCACCAATCCTGATGCCACAATTCTCCTCATAGAGCCCAGCCTCTCGGATAATCTGCTCTGCATACATGTTGAAAAGGTATGGAGACAGGATGCATCCCTAGCGTACAACCTTCCCAATTTTGAACCATGCAGTGTTACCCTGCTCTGTTCTGACGACTGCCTCTTGGTCCAAGTATAGGTTTCGTATTAGCACAATTAAATGTTCTGGGATTCCCATTCTTCTCAGAGTCAGCCACAGTTTGTTATGATCCACACAGTCAAATGCCTTTGCATAATAAATGAAACACAGACAGACATTCTTCTGGTATTCTCTGCTTTCAGCCAAGATCCATCTAACATCAGCAACAATATCCCAAGTACCACGACCCCTTCTAAACCCAGCCTGGACTTCCGGCAGTTCTTTGCTGATGTGCTGTTCTAATCGTTTTTGGATGATCTTCAGCAGAATCTTGCTTGCATGTGAAATCAATGACACTGTTCTGTAGTTTCCACACTCAGTTGGGTCACCTTTCTTTGGAATGGGAACAAATATAGATCTCTTCCAGTCAGTTGGCCAAGGGGTTGTTCTCCAGATTTCTTGGCACAACTTGGTGAGCACATCCAGGGCAACATCTGTTATCTGAAATACTTCAATTGGTATATCCTCTATTCCTGGGGCCTTATTTTTTGCTATTTCCTTCAAAGCAGCTTGAACTTCTTCCTTCATCACCATAGGCTCTTGTAAATGCCATCAACTCAATTCTTACTCCTCATGGTCCCATAGGACAGTGTAGAACCGCACCAGTGCGTGTTTTTAAGGCCCAAATCTGTAGGTAAGCACATCACCATGTGTTTCTCCTATGGAACTCTGTGTGGCCTGGAATGTCAACCTTCAGTTAATAGCCAAGTGCTCAAATGCTTGTGCCACCAATTAGATGCATAATAACAAGATTAAAGAATAAAAATTCTCATTCACTATTTGCATTTTGTCCTATGAAGTTAATATAAGGATATTTTATTTTTAATCATTCTCTTCCTAGTTCTACAAAATCAATTAAATTAGCTGTTCATTAATAATCAGCTAACATCAGACAAACATCTTTAATTTTTTGTTTCACTTTCAAATTTAACTCATTAGCAATCCTCATGTTCCCCAAGAAATTTACATAGTAAACTGAAAAAAAAAATAAATAAAAATACTATGGTCTTTAATGTATCTGACTTATTTCATAAACTGTGACTCCACTGATTATAAGACACATCATTGTTTTACATATTACTAAGAAAAAATTGCTCATTTATAAAACTTCATCAATTTACGTATGTTAAGATACTATAGGAGTGTATCTTAAAGAAGATACTTTAAAAAATTGCACGATACTTAATAAAAATTTGATAATTTGTTATCCATTCTATTTGACAATTTTAAATTTTAAACTCAGAAATATCCTGAAAAATTAAGAATTAATGTATGATTACATTAGGAGCTCTGGTGGCCTAGTGCTAAGAAGCTGCACTGCAATCGCAAAGACATGCAGTTTGAATCTGCTAGCAGCATCACGGGACATATGCAGTCTCCTCCTGCGTTTTGCCTCTACAAACACACTGGATGGAGGCTCAGCTATGGGTTGGTTCTGACTCGATGGCACACAACAATGACAACGTATGATTAAATGCAAAAATATGATCCTAAGATAGACCTCAAGATGACAATTCTCAGTTTATCAAGGCTATTTTATCTAGAAAAAGAAATTTAAAAAAAGAAAGCAAAATGTACTTCACTCAATCACTGCTGTCAAGTAGGAATCGATTCATAACTGATGCTCCAATGGGCTTTTGGGAAGCTGTAGATCACACATGAGGAAACTGCCCATCTTTCCCCTGAGGAGCAGATGGCAGATGTGAACTGCCACAGAGGAGCTGTCTTGGCTTAGCGCAACCTTTTATCAACTCTCCACCGGGGTTCCATAACATGGTACTTAGGGTCACCAAAGCAAAAGGATTTAGGTATAAAAATATATGAAAAACCATCAGCCCATACAAATTTTTTACTAGGTTAGCATATAAATGTACACCTGCTGAGATGAGTTTCTAGGATGCTACACATATATATATGTATGTCTGTTTAAGAAGTGCACACAACATATGCTTTCATTCTAGGTTAGAATGAAACTAGAGCATTAGAGGGGAAGGTATAAAAATAAACTTATTCTTTCCTTCTTGATCTTTATCATTCATTAGAAGATTACCTATCAGAATGCACAGTCTTGCAAATCAAGGAATATCTTATGGATGTGATTATTTGGTGAATATACAATGTTTTAAAGAATTGTAATTTAATACTTACGAATGAACAGATGCAGGAGCATCATCTCGTTGGAAAGTTCCTTCACTTCCAATCTGTTCCCTACGCTTCCCAGCTCGGTCTTTATATTTTGGATTCTTCAATGTCTTTTCATCTTCATAGTCTATATTCTTTAAAACACAAATAATCATCACAAGAAAAGACAGCTGATGAATAAAAAATGTAAATCCTGAAGTCACACAAGCCATAATATAAATCAAATGTTTATGTCTTGAAAGCTATTCATATTCTATCCTTTTAAAAACATTAGTATTATTTCAAGATGAATCACAACAGGTATTTATTGTAAAAAAAAATATTGGGAAAATTTCATCTATTTTGATATTAATGCTCTGTACTATTTTTTTCTTAAGCTGAAGGAGCTGAAAAACAAATTCAAGCCATGGGTGGTAATACTTAAGGATAGTTTGGGTAGAACGTTGAATGATCCAGGAAGTACCAAAAGAAGATGAAAGGAGTACAGAGTCACTAAAGCTGACACAGACGAATTTCATGAAATAACATATGAGCAAGAGCCTATGGTGATGAAGGAGGAAGTTCAAGTTGCTCTGAAGGAATTGGCAAAAAACAAGGCTCCAGTAGTTGACAGCATACCAATTGATTTATTTCAACAAACAGACGCTGCCCTGGATGTGCTCACTAAGTTGTACCAAGAAATCTGGAGGACAGCCAGCTGGCCAACTGACTGGAAAAGATCGATATTTGTTCCCATTCCAAAGAAAGGTGACCCAACAGAGTGTGGAAATTATCAAACAATATCATTAATATCACATACAAGCAAGATTCTGCTGAAAATTATCCAAAATGATTGGAACAATATGTCACCAGAGAACTACCAGATGTGCAGTCTGGATTTAGAAGAGGTCATGGTCCTAGGGATATTATATAGCTAATGTTAGATGGATCTTGGCAGAAAGCAGAGAATACCAGAAGAATGTCTATCTGTGCTTCATTGACTATGCAAAGACTTTTGACTGTGTGAATCACAACAAGCTGTGGCTGACTCTAAGAAGAATGGGAATCCCAGAACATTTGATTGTGCTAATGCGAAACCTATACTTGGACTAAGAAGCAATCATCAGAACAGAGCAAGGAGACACTACATTATTCAAAATCAAGAAGGAGGTCTGTCTGCGATGCATTTTGTCTCCATACCTTTTCAATCTGTATGCAGGACAGATCATTCAAGACGCTGGGCTGTATGAGGAGGAATGTGGCATCAGGACTGGTGGAAGAATCAACAACCTGCATTATGTGGATGACACGACCCTGATTGCTGAAACTGAGGAGGATCTGAAGCACTTGATACAGAAGGTCAAGGACTGCAGTCTTCAATATGGATTGAAGCTCAATATCAAGAAAACAAAGATCCTCACCACTGGGCCAACTGGCAGCATCAGTATGGATGGCGAAGAGATTGACATAGTTAACAGTTTTAGTTTACTTGGTTCCACAGTCAACACTCCTGGTAACAGCAGCCAGGAAATCAGGAGACGAATTGCATTGGGAAAGTCAGCTGTGAGGGACCTCTCAAGAGTACTGAAGAGCAACGATGTCAGGCTGGAGACTAAGGGTGCGCCTGATCCAGGCTATAGTCTTCACAATTACATGCTATGCATCACAGAGTTGGACAGTGAATAGGGATGATAGAAAGAGAATTGATGCCTTTGAGCTGTGGTGCTGAAGAGTGTTGACTATACCATGGACTGCAAGGAGAACAAACAGGTTTGTCCTGGAGAGAGAGAAGCTGGACTGCTCCTTGGAGTCAAGGATTCTGAAGCTTTGTCTGACATACTTTGGGCATGCTGCAAGGAGGGATTGGTCTTTGGAGAGGGACATCATGTTTGGGAGAGTGGAGGGGCGGCGCAGGAGAGGAAGACCCTCAATGAGATCGATTCTGTGAGTAGAGTGGTGGGAATGAGTGTGTTTGAGATGCCGAGGTTGGCACAGGATAGAATGGCGTTTAGGGCTCTTGTACACAGGGTCACTATGCGTCGCAAGCAACTTGATGGCACATAACAAAAACAAAAAACCTATTTTTTCATATTTAGAATCACCAAAGGGATACTCAGAGAAATATGTAAAATCCTTTATGTAGAAAAAACCAATTACTTTTTCTCTAAAAAATGTAAAGTTTCAAAAGACCTGAATTAGGTAAGTCCTGATTTTGAGTTCATTTTTATCACATTCTGTGAGGTGTGGATCAAAATTTTCAACCCAGTTGTTCAAACTGATTTCTTGAACATCCCTTCTCCACAAAACTGTCTTTGCTTTTTTGCCAAAATCAGTTGTTCATGTACTTATGGGTCTATTTATGGATTCATTATTCTGTTCCAATGTTCTATCTTTATATAAATACTATACTAACATGGTAACTTTATAAAGTCAAGAAGTATTAGCCGTCTTCAATAGGCTCATTTTAAATTTTTGAAAGCCAGAGTTGCTATTTAAATACAGGATATTGTTTTAATTTTTATACCTCAATCTTACTAGTTATAAGGTTTTAAATAACCCAATAGTAAATAACTAACAAAAATTACACTATTTCAAGATCCTAATAAATAACTTTTTTTACAAGAGCTCTGGTGGCCTAATGGTAAAAAGCTACTCCACAATCCTAGAGGCACACAGTTCAAATCCACCAGTTAATCCACAGGAGAAAGATGGGCAATCTCCTCTCATGTGATTAATTGCCTCTGAAAACCTATTGGAAGGTCAGCTAAGAGTCAATTCTAACTCAATGACACACAACAATAAAAAAGAACCCCAACAATAGCTAGCTCTCTATATATTTAATTTGGTCTATCTGAAGGCATTTTTGCTCAAAATCAGATGTACAGTTTAATACAATATTTAGCATCCTTACCTGTAAACCATACTTCACACGAATTTTTTTTAATTCTTTTCTTCTTTCCAACTCTTTTTCCTCCTTACTTAGTGCTGGACCAACTAAACAAAAGGAAAACACTTTCGTTTAAAACACACACACACACACACACACACACACACACACACACACACACCCCTTTCTCTACCTGATACGATTTTGTAGAGAATATTTATTTAATGAGAAAAATAACAGCATTAGTACACCATGCGCAGATCACCCAGAGTATGAATAAATGTTAACCAAAAAGGATTTTGTGTTGTGTTGGTGCCGACTGCCTTTCAGCAGTTTTGGTAACTAAACCTATGTGAAAAGTAAGCTAAATTCACAACGTAAAGGATTATAGGGAAGTTACCATATAGATACTAAAGTAAAAAACCATCTTAACTTTTCACTATTATTATAACACAATCCCAAATGCAGAAATATTAAGTCACTTTCCAAAGGAATATACATATATGAAAGAAAACAATTATGGAATGAAAGATTCTGGTGCATATGGTATACTCATTTTCACAATCTAATTAATATTAGAAAACAAAATATAAACAATGAACAAGTATACTTGTTAGGGAGATAAGTGTAGAGAAAAATAGACTACTATCACTATTTTAAAACTTCTATTAAATTTTAAAAGCCCAGAAGGATAGATTGAAAGCAGCATAGAAACTCCCAGTGGTATTATTTATTATACAAAATAATGGCTTACATGAAATAAAGAAATTAAAAAAATACGTTTCAGCAAACAACATCCAGGAATTTAATTTAGCATCCTGGCTTTATTTCTGATGTTAAGATTATATTAGAATGTTATTATAGATTACTTTTTCCTATCAGTAGGGAGATATTAAAAGGACACGTAACTTCATTATGTCATAATTATGCTTTTAAAGGACATGTAACGACCAGTACAATATTGCTTCAAAAGCTACTAAACTATGTCATAAAAAAAGAGCTAATGAGTTTCTTTCATGGAAGACTGTGACCGTATGGTTTAATATAAATAGCGGAAATTATTAAAGAAAAAAATAACAATATGGTAAAACCTGTTCTAGTGGCTCAGTGGTAGGAGGTACACTGCCAGCCTAAAGAAATGCAGTTTAAGTCTACCAGCTGCTCTGTGGAAGAAAGATGGGCTGTCTTCTCCCATGTGATTTCCCAGCTCTGCAAATCCACTGGAGGGTCAGCTATGAGTAGGTTCCAACCAGGCAGAATGAAACAACAAACTGCAAAGTCAGAACCTCTCTAAGGTGAAAATTTTTCTGAAGTAAAACCTCAAATATTTTTCACTTAAAAGGAATGATAAAGAAGTGGTAAGACTGCACTCTGTCAAAGGCAGAAAAACTTGTGAGACCAGGAAAAACAAGGCAGTCCAGTCAGTGCCAGGTCTCATGTTGCATTGTATAAACATAATCTACTCACTGAAGTCTCAGATTCTAAATGCATGCCACTTTTTACTAAGTCTCATAGGCTTACTGAAATACAGATGCACCAAAATACAGCATAACAACAGGCCAATAATTTTGCATAAGCATATATTTCTACATGACATTGTTTTCATGAACCTGGCAATGGATAAATTTGTATCATAATTGAATTAAAGGAAAAGGTACTATCCCCACATATAGGAATGTTACACATACCGAAAGAGTCATCCTTCTTATCAAGGCGAAGATGAGCTCTAACCTGCCCTGGCTCACAGCCATCGCAGGTGTCACTGCCAGAGTGTATGTGAAAGGAAAGCACAGTCTCTCCAATTTTCACTTCATCTCCATGCTCAAGTACATAAGGATCACATTTACTTTTAGGCTAGACAGGAATAAAATAAGAAGACAGTTACATGATAAAGCAGTTATTTGAAGTCAATGAAGTCATGAAAAATCTACTTGAAATGCTTTTTCATGATAGACCCACGTTGTATACAAACACATCCACAACTTCACAGAGGACACAGAAAGATAGCTAACCTGAGCACTGATGAACTGTTATCTCATGAAATCCACCTATATTCCTATTTTTAGGCCTGATGCTACCAGAAATACACAAACTAAGACTTTAAGTAATCTATTACCCAAACAAGTACTGGTGCTGTTATTATGATGTACGGTCAAGTTGGAAGTGACTCATACTGACCCTCAATCAGGTTTTCAGGGGCAGTATGTCACATGGGAAATTGCCCATCTTTTTCCCACAGAGAAACTTGTGGATTTGAACTGCATGTCTTTGGGATGGCAGTGCAACTCTGTAACATTAAGCCACCAGAATGTAAGTAAGGATTAGTACTAATCAAAGTTAAAAACAGTGCTAGGAGAGAGAGATACATTTTTTTTTTTCACACATCACACACCTGTGTAATGAGTGCACACATGTAACATGAACAGGATCCACAGGAAAAGAAACTAATGCACAAAGGAGTCATACAGTTTAAAAACAAAACAAACATAAATGCACTTGCACAAAAATCTTTTCTTCGACCATAGCTGACATCCAAGCAGATATATGCACACCCATGTTTATTGCAGCTTTGTTCACAATAGCAAGGAGTTGGAAACAACCTAAGTGCCCATCAACAAACGAATGGCTAGAGAAGCTATGGTATATTCGCACAATGGAATACTATGCTGCATTAAAAAACAAGGAACTCATGCAATATTATTCAAAATGGTTGACTCTGGAGAACATTATGCTGAGTGAAATATCCCAGTCACAAAAGGACAAATATTACATGATGCCACTGTTGTAGAATGGGACTGTCCTTGGGGTTGGGGAGAGACTGAGTAAGATGGGTTCAATAATGTATACTGCACTGAAACAGAGGAGGGAGAGAACCGTTTAAAAGAGAGATGTAACTGGGTATTTCTGTCACCACAGGAGACTAGAGCGAGGGCTACATGGTGGAGGGGACCTGGGGGAGGGTTTGTAAAACAATGAAAGAATCTTTTCTTTTACTTTTCCATAATTTTTGGACTCATGTACTTATAACTTGTTAGTCAAATTTGTGTCTTCTAGGTTGCAACACCCCCATGATACATCTTCAAGGATATGAACATGTACAGTCAAGCACAATCAATAAGAGTGCATCTAAATTCCAAAATCAATCTCCATAATAGTCTATGTGTTTCCTACTGCCAAAGGGGCCCTTTAGAGTAGTGAGAGAAGATCTTCACCCTGAAACCCACAGCGTCCCTTTTCAGCAGGAAGTAGCTAAGAGAATACGCCATCCCCTTTTCCTTATGACTCAGGGTGAAGTCTCTCTCAGGGAGGAGTGACAGGGAATGGCAAAGGACTCACTGACAAAGAAGATTAATCAGAACTGGCTTTGACAAGCACTGTGGCATTTGGACAAGAACAAACTGGGAGGAGGGTAGAGAGAATAGTGCAACAATGAATGAGTGGAAGCCCAAAATCTCTGTAAATGTTTATGAAAATTAATAAAATATAATTATAGAAAAAAAAATCTTTTCCTCTTATTAGTTCAATTTTGTTTCATTGTTGATTCTAATAAGACTAAGGTCTCCCTCCCTTCCACCCATTTTGTTATGTTCTTTACTTTGTGCTTGTAATACAAGAGTTAACAAGAAAGACAGTCCTGCCTTTGAGGGGTTTTAAATATACCAACATTCCTATTAAGATGGTTTTTAAAGGGAAGGCTCTATAATCATTTAAGAATATTAACTCTAAATAGCTCTAAACTGCACTGTTATCTAAACAGAAGGCATATGTCTATCATTAAAAATCAAAATTGAATAGCACAGTCTCCCTTTTGGTAAATTCCCTTTCAAGTAATTTATTTGGCTTGAATGTTTATTCCAATTATATGAAAATATTCCAATGTGGGGGTTTTTAAAGTATGAAACACACACACACACACACACACATACTCACACACTCACTCACCTGAAGAATCTGTTTTCCATTCACAATTGTGCCATTCTGACTGCCTTGATCCACAAGAACATAGCTTTGTAAGTTATGGTCAAAATGGATTTCTGCGTGAAACTTAGAAAGAAGAATAAAGGAATTATAAAGTACTGTACTATTTTCTTCTTTTTTTAAAAAAAGAAGCCCTGGTGGCAGAGTTCATAATACTTCAGACTGCCAACTGAAAAGTAGGTAGTTTGAATTCATTAGCTACTTTGAGGTAGAACGACAGGTAGTCTCCTCCTGTAAAGATTACAGTCTCAGAAACTGCCAAAGAGGCTCAATATGAGTTGGGCTCAATAGCACTGAGTTTCTGTACTTTCGAGGGGGGCAAAGGTGTGAAAACATACTTTCAAAAACCACATCCAATTTTCCCATGACATACTATGGACTTTAATCACTGCTAACTTAACATTTATACTTTTAAGTACTTTTTTCTTACATTAAAAAATATATATGTTTCTGATAGAAATGTTAAGGCTTCAAAATTAAAACCATCAATTTATAACCCCACCTATAACTACACTGATAATTTAGTAAATGTCCTGTGTTTTCTATTTAACATAGTTGTGACTATATTATATATATCATCTATATTCTTTTTCATCTCATGGAAGGAAATACAGGTATGATGCATTAGGTGATGTCAAGTTGCCTGAGACTCACAGCAATCCTACCAAGAACAGATCTCAACCTTGCCCTATCCTCAGCCATTCTTACAATCTTCATAATGCTCAAGACAATTGTTGCAATCACTGTCAGTCCATCTCAATGAGGGTCTTCCTCTCTTTTGCTGACCATCTCTCCACCTTACGCAGCATGATGTCTTTTTCCAAGGACTGGCCCCTATTTTTTTTAACATAACAGTGATTATACTTATATATCATTTCTTTTGTCCCTAATATAAATTTAGGTATGAAGTTTTTTAACCCAATTTAAATTTAGGTAGGTGTTGCTTAATGTCTGTTCTGACATCATATCCACCTATGAGCCAGAGCACCCGAGCGTGGGAGGATGTCAGAACCTTGTATTGACATCAAAGCCTCACTGCATGGACAGCAGAGAAGCCTCCTAGTCTGCAAGGATGGAGTTCCAGCCCAAACTCCTAACTCTAAGCCCTTCTGCTTCCTTGAGTCAATGGGTTTAATGTACACATACATCTGCCTAGGGTAATCCTGTAGGGTGCTAGTTGAAAAGTATTTGACTTGGCCACCATGGCTCATACTGTCCCCTCCCCAGGCAGGATCTTAGGGTCAAGTTATCTTTCCTTGTGTGTGGCTTTGCAGAAAAGGTGGCAGCAACTAGACTGAGTAGAGCTGTCATGTAAAGTATCCCCAGCAGGAGTTGCCTGGATTGTGCACAGCAAAGTAGCCCACAGGGCAGTGCACCCAAGAACCCTATGTCCCATGGACAATGGACACAGTTGTTTCTCAGTAGTATCATGGACATTTATCATGTATTTCCCTGATTACTACTTGTACCAAGTTCTTAAATTTGGCTAGATTTTGCTCTCTAGTGAGTCAAAAAGAGACAGTAACTAGATATTCAAAGTAATAACAGAAAACAAATTTCACTCTAAAAAGACAAAAATCATGTGACTATATTAAATCCTTGTGAACTCAATTTTTAGTTTTACCAATTTTGCTACAAGTGCCTAAGACCTTTTTAAAACATATTCTTTTCATTGATATGTACCTCTCTGATCCATTTTCAAATGTTAATCAGCGTTCTGAATTTGAAGCTTACCTAATCACCATAAGCAATATGTAATTTTACATGATTCTGAATAGATATAGATGTCCTATTATGTGAATTTTTACTGAAATCTAAGTTACATACAGTAATAGGCCATAAATTTTAACTATGATGTTGAGTGAGTTTTGAGAAATGTCTATTACATTAGGTTATGTTGTGAGATTCACATTACTGTGCACTGCACTTGTTCATTTTGCTGAACAGTAATTTATAATATGAACATGTCACAATCTATTCTACAGATTGTAACATTCAGACTTTTTCCAAGGTTGTATTATTTAAAAAAATAATTTTTCAAATGGTGCTATAACCAAGCATTCTTATTTATATATCTCCCTATGTCTGGCTAAGTATTCCTCAGGAGTATAAACTAAGTAATGAAAACGGTAAGTGACAGTATATACAAATCTAAAACTTAACTAGATACAGCTATATTACTTTCCAAAGTGGTTGTACATTCCCAATGTAAATTAACTCCCAATTTACATTCTCACCAACAGTCCATGCAAAGCCTTCCTGTTCTTTGTTTCATTAACCAGTACTCTGTATTGTCAAATATTTAACTTTTAACAATCTACTGGCTGTGAAATGAAATCTCATCACTGTAATTTTAATGTGCATTTCCCTGATTACTATGAATACCAACAACTTTTTACATATATTATTGACCACTGGCTATTTGGCTACAGTTAATAAAGAATTTCCTTTCCAGGACTAGAGGGGTAAAAGTGGCAATATTTCACTTTTCAAACTAATAATGAGGGGAAATGTTCATTCTTAAAAGACCAAAATCAAAGGAAATGTGTTTTAGGTTTGTATTAGAACTCTATTAAGTGGGAACAAAATAGGAATGATGAAGGAATAAAAGAAAACAAAAGAGAAGAGAAGCGAATGAGAAAACCAGAGAGTATGTATATAGCATAGAAAAAAGAGAAATATGAAATATAAATAACCCCAGTAGCTAAATCTTTTGTTTCGTTATAATTTTAAGTTATGTTGTAACTGTTTACTCTGAAAACTGAAAAAGCTGTAGACAAGAGCCTTGTTTACTAGAAGATAGACTGTAAGGAATATAATTCCTGGGTTATAATATACTCAAAGATCAAAGTAACCATCTATGAATTTCGTAAAATAATAGTTCAAATCCAGGCCTGATTTATTTTTTAAATGCAAAGTATTTAGAACATTAATTATACTTCATAAATATTTATTGAATGGTCACTACCCTGGTAATACAATTCCCCTGGTTCCTTCTGTAAGGGAGAAGTGTCTTTCATCTGCTTGTCTGTATGTTCTTACAATGGAATACTACACAACACTCAGGAGCAATGATTTTGAAAATTACTACCTAACTCTGGGGGGACTGGAGAGCCTTGTTGTTGTTGTTGTTATGTGCCGTCGAGTCATTTGCGACTCATAGCGACCCTATGTACAACAGTCCTAAGCCCTGCTCTATACTGTGCCAATCGCATTGGCTCTGACACACCCATCCCGATTACCCCAATTACTAAATCAATCCACCTCATAGAGGGTCTTTCCCTCCTGCGCTGTCCCTCCACCCTACCAAGCATGATGTCCCTCTCCAAAGACCTGTCTCTTCTTACAATATGCCCAAAGTATGTCAGACGAAGCCCCAGAATCCTTGCCTCCAAGGAGTAGCCTGGTTTAACCCTCTCTAGGATGAATCTGCTTGTTGTCTTGGCAGTCCATGGTACATTCAATACTCTTCTCCAGCACCACAGCTCAAAGGCGTCAATTCTCCTTCTATCCTCCCTAGTCACTGTCCAACTCTCTGATGCATAACAAGTGATTGCAAAAACCATGGCCTGTATCAGGCGCACCTTAGTCTCCAGAGAGACACCTTTGCTCTTGAGTACTTTAGAGAGGTCCCTAATAGCAGACTTTCCCATCGCAATACGTTTTTTAATTCCTGGCTGCTGGTGCCAAGAGTGTTGACTGTGGAGCTGAGCAAACTGAAGCTGTGAACAATCTCAATCTCTTCGCCATCCATCCTGATGGTTCTGTGGTGAGAATCTTTGTCTTCTTGACTTTGCACCTCAGTCCATACTGAAGGCTGCAGTCCTTGACCCTCTGCAGTTAAGTACACGAGGTCCTCCTCAGTTTCAGCAAGCAGGGTTGTGTCATCTGCATAACGCAAATTGTTGATAGATCTTCCACCACTCCTAACGCCATGCTTCTCCTCATAGAGTCCAGCCTCTCGGATAATCTGCTCTGCATATAGGTTGAAAAGGTATGGAGATAGGACACATCCTTGGCATACACCCTTCCCAATTTTGAACCATGCAGTGTTGCCCTGCTCTGTTCTGACGACTGCCTCTTGGTCCAAGTATAGGTTTCGCATTAGCACGATTAAATGTTCTGGGATTCCCATTCTTCTCAGAGTCAGCCACAGTTTGTTATGATTCACACAGTCAAATGCCTTTGCATAATCAATGAAACACAGATAGACATTCTTCTCGTATTCTCTGCTTTCAGCTTAGATCCATCTAACATCAGCTACAATATCCCTAAAGAAAAGACCAAAATGGATGTCAGAAGAAACTCTGAAGATTGCACCGGAATGTAGAGAAGCCAAAGCACAAGGAAGAATTCAATACACTAAGGAGGCTAAACAGAAGATTCCAAAAGGCAGCAAGGAATGACAAAGCAAAATATTACAATGAAATGTGTGAGGAGCTAGAGTCATAAAATCAAAAGGGTAGAACTCGTTCAGCATTTCTTAAGCTCAAGGAACTGAAGAACAGATTCAAATCTAGAGGTGCTATAATCAAGGATGCTTTAGGCAGAATGTTAAATGATCCAGGAGGTATCATAAGAAGATGGAAGGAATATACTGAGTCATTGTATCGAAAGGAATTGGCAGATACAGAAGAATTTAATGAAATAGCATTTGAGCCAGAGCCTATGGTGATGAAGGCAGAAGTTCAAGCTGCTTTGAAGGAAATAGCAAAAAATAAGGCCCCAGGAATAGATGGTATACCAATTGACATATTTCAGCTATCAGATGCTGCCCTGGATGTGCTCACCAAGTCGTGCCAAGAAATCTGGAGAACAACCTCTTGGGCAACTGACTGGAAGAGATCGATATTTGTTCCCATCCCAAAGAAGGGTGACCCAACTGAATGTGGAAACTACAGAATATCATTGATTTCACATGCAAGCAAGATTCTACTGAAGATTATCCAAAAACGACTGGAACAGTACATCAGCAGAGAACTGCCAGAAGTCCAGTCTGGGTTTAGAAGGGGTCGTGGTATTAGGAGAGCATTATGCTGAGTAAACTCAGTTCTACAAGGATAAATATTATATAAAACCATTATTGTAGAATGAGTATGAGGATCCAAGGGGTGGAAGCAGAGGGATGAAGTTGTGTGGGGGGGATTAATCATGGAGTTGTACAATTTGATGGCTGGGGGGGCTGAGGAAAATTGGAAGATTCTGGTGTGAAAAACAATGTATTCAAATTTTGTTAATAAACTAATAAAAAATGAAAAAGGGAAAAAAAGCTTGTCTGTTACATTGTTCTAAAACAGAGTATCCAAATGAAGACAGACTAAGAAGAAGAACTGGCCACCCACTTCTGAAATAACAAGCATTCGAATTCCATTATGTACAACAGAGTACACTTAGAGGAAAACTAGCAGATGTGGCACCTGAGGCTGAACCCTCTAGTTTGGAAACACAAATGACAAGGAACAGTTGTAAGCAGACACTAAAGACTGTAAAGTGGAATGTGAGAAGCATAAATGCAGGAAAACTTGGGACTGTTAAGAAAGAAAAGAAATGTACATATATTGATAGCAAATATACTGATAGCACATATATTGTTGGCAAAATGAGATGGACTGGCATAGGACATTCTGAATCAGATAGTCAAATGCCAGAGATGAGAAGGTGAGGAAAAACGGAGTTGCTTTCATAGTTAAAAGGTCATTTCTAGATCCATCTTGAAATACAATGTTCTATTGTAAGCCACAGGCCCACTATTATTAAAGCATATGCCAACAACCAGAGCCAAAGAGGAGGAAATAGATGATTTCTACCAACTCTTGAAGTAAGAAATTGATCAAATACGCAATCGACATGCATTAACCATATGGGGTGACTGGAATTCAAATTCAGGAATAGGGAAGAAGGATCAGTACTGGAAAACATGGATGGACTTGGTAACAAATATGAGGCTGGAGATAGAATTGTGTACAATCAATGATTTATTCATTGCAAATACCTCATATAAGAGACAAAAATGCAGGGTCTGGAGATGTAGCTCGCCGGTGGAGCACGGTGGCTCACGTGCCGCGGCTTTCTGGTTCGTGGTTCATTACCACTACCAAGAGACAAAAATGCAGACACATACACGTGGATCTCACCTGATGGGATGCACAGGAATGAGATAGATTACATCTGGGGAAAGAATCTCAATAGATAATATCAACTCTGAAAACGAGGCCAGGTGCTGATTGTGGAACATACCATCAACTACTCATATGCAAGTTCTACCTCAGCTAAAGAAGGTTAAAACAAATCCACAGGAACCAAAATTTGACTTTCAGTCTATCCCACATAAATTTAAAAATCATCTCAGGAACAAGTTTGAGGCCTTGAACAACAATGAACAAAGAATGATCCAGGAAGTGTTAAAGAGAAAAGAAGAACACAGAGTTATTGTACCAAACAAAACTGGCTGACACAGAAGAATTTTATGAAACAAATCAAGAGGCAATGGTGATGAAGGAGTAAGTTCAAGCTTCTCTGAAGGATGTAGCAAAACACAAGGCCCCAGGAATTGATAGGATACAAACTGACATATTTCAACAAACAGATGCTGCCCTGGACATGCTCACCAGATTATGCCAAGTAATAAGAAGGACAACTACCTGGCCAACTAACTGGAAGAGATCCATACTTATTCCCATTCCAAAAGAGGATGACCTAAAAAAAAATATAAATTTAAAAAAAAAAAAAAGGATGACCTGACAGAGTGTGGAAATTAGCAAACAATATCACTAATATGACACACACAATCCTGAAGATTATCCATAAACAACTGAAACAGTACACTGACAGAGAACTATCAGAAATATAAACTGGATTTAAAAGAGGTTGTGGCAACAATTTCAACTTGCTCAGCTCCACAATCAACACTCTTGGCATCAGCAGTCAAGAAATCAGATGAATTCATTAGGAAGTCTGCTGTCCGGGACCTCTCCAAAGTGCTAAAAAGTAATGATGTCAGTCTAGGGACTAAGGTGTTCCTGATCTGGGCCACGGTCTTCACAATTACTTGCTATGCATCACAGAGCTGACAATGACTAAGGATGAGAGAAGAAAAATTGATGCCTTTTGAGTTGTGGTGCCAGAGAAGAATACTGAACATACCATGGACCATCAAGAGAACAGGTCTGTCTTTGCAAGTTTCTCCTTAGAAGCAGAAATTTCGAAGCTCCGTCTCATATACTTTGGGCACGTGGCCAAGAGGGACAAGTACTTGGAGAAGGACATCATGCTTGGAAGGATGAGGGACAATGCAGGAGAGGAAGGCTGCAGATGAGATGGACTGACATGGTAATGGGGGTAGGTGTGTCGATGTCAGTGAGATAGGCTCAGGACAGGGCACACCTCAGAGCTGTTGTACATAGGGTGGCTAAGAGTCTTGGTCAAGTTAATGACACATAACAACTATAACTGCTACTCTGATAGTTTTTCTGCATTTTTTACTCCTGTTGAGTTGGAGTAAAAAATATTCTCAAGCACTGAAGAACAAATCTGCATTACTTTAACTAAGTATCAACATTTCTGTTAAATGAGAGAAGAAAATTCCATAACTTTTTTGCTGTAAAAAGGATTTTAAAATAGAGACCAAGAGGTTATCGGAAAAACCGGACTTACCTTACTGACACCAACTTCAGGTATTCTAAGAGTATGTTCCATATCTTTTTCTCTGCAGAATTAAATTGTTTAAAAAAATTTTTTAGCATATAAAAAAGGAAGGATTTCTAGAATGACAAAGAATTTTTAAAAATAACATTAAAATGTGAGTCTCCCTACCGTATGTGGCAAGTTTCCCAGTTATAGATTATTCTGTTTCCTTAATTGTACTATTATTTTCCTTTCTGAAGGGATGTTCCACCTACCTTAGTCTAATCAGCAACTAGTGTACACAAAACATGCTTTGCATCACTTAAATATTTCTTTCAGATCTCTTAAATATGTCCCTATTTTTATTACTACATATGAAAAGAACATTAGTGTTCTTGAAGAATTTAAAATGAAGATATTGCACAGAATTTTACTTAAGCATAGATTAGGTGTATCTTTCCAGTGAGAGAAAAGTAATTATCCTACTTAAAATTAAAGGCTCTGATTGCATGGTGGGTACAGAGTTGTGCTGCCAACCAAAGGTAGTCAGTTTGAATCCACCAGTTTCTCCTAGGGAGAAAGATGGACAATCTCCTGTGCAATTTACAGCCTCTGACAGACTACTAGAGAGTCATCTATGAGTTGGTTCCAACTCAACTGCACATAACAGCAACAACAACCCTCTATCAAGCTAGTTGTAAGATACAAAGAGGAAAAGATTGCAGTTTTGTCAGTTAATTTAAACCTTAAAAGGAAAGAATGAAATGTGACAAAGTCATAAACTCTCTGTGGAAGGTATCACCAAGGTTTTATCTCCACATAGGCAGGTTTCCATTTTGGAGCTATAAAGACATACACTAGTTAGACTTGTAAAACCAAGTGACAAAAGTATTTTCTGAATGGCTTAAGAATAATTTTTTTTTTATTTTTGCGTGAGAAAAACAAAGATGTCATTGGTTTTTTTTTTTCCTATACAGTTAAGTATGATGCATCACAGTAAATGCTTAAGAAACATAATTCACTGGAAGGATATGACAAATTAGATAAATAATGCAATGAATGATCCCTTTATAAAAGGTATAGGGATGGTGTTTGAAGTTCTTGGTAGGTGCTGTCAAGTACAACCTTATGAACAACAGATCTGAACCCTGTCCTATGTTTTAAGAATTGAGAGGAAATAAAGAAGGCAAAGAATGAAATCATTAAATCAGAGCCTATGACCCAACAAAACACTTTACTAGGCTTCTCAGGTTGCTTAAAATTTATCAACATTATGAAGCAGATAATGGTATCCTCACATTGTTGTTGTTGTGTACCAGAGTCGAACCAAACTATAGCTGACTCTCCTGCAGGTTTTCAGAGGCAGTTAATCATACAAGACTGTCCATCATTCTCCACAGAGCAGCTGTTGGCTTAGAACCCCACACCTTCGGGATTGCAGTACAGTTTCTTGCCACTAGGCTACCAGAACTCCCTGTCCTCACAGAGCAGAAATTAGGTGTTACTTCTGACTCGTAGACTGAAAAAAGGTAACATAAAGAGCTGAGGATTGAAGGATGAGTGTAATATTATATAGGAGTTTGGGAGACACCGCTAAGGAAAGAGATTCTGAGCAGGAGAAATGCTATGAATAGATACAGACATAGTACAACATGGGACCTGATGTGGGGAAAGCTAAGTAGTACAACAGACCTGTAGCTGATGTGAAGTAAATAAGAGGCCGACAAACTAGCACCTCTTTTTCAAACTATGCCCAACCAATTTTTATAAACAAATCTTTCTGGGGGCATGGACACACTATTCTTTACATACTGTCTACCGAGCCCTTTAAAGAAAGTTTGCTGATCTCTAACACAGATGATAAAAGTGTAGAGAGTGAGAATGAAAGCAGAGTTTGGAGAGAAGCTTGGTAAGAAGTTAGAAAACACACATCAAGCAATGGAAAATCGCTGAATGGTTCTCAACAGAAAACACTAAGGGCTGTGCTTATACCAAGAGAAATGTGGCTGCACAATACGAGATGAAGAAATCAAAGGGAAATGAAGACAAGAGGCCAGTTAAATTACTACAAGAATCCAATTAGAAAGCTAGAAGGGCTGAACTAAGATGATGGCAATAGGGATAGAATAAGAGAAACAACAGCTTTTAGCAGCAAAATCATTACTATTGTGACTAGCTAAGAAGTAATAAAAGGAAAGGCTTCAAAAAAGGAGATGGAAGCATATTTCTCCTTGAATCAAAATTCCAATATAAAAAAACAATAGCTATCTACAGTATAGGTTGACTGTAGACTTACATGAAAACTTTTATTAGCCTTTATACAGTAGATCTGAAATTCAGAGAAGCTGAAACTGATAAAATTTTAAGTCTCCTTCACAAAGATAAAAATACAGAAAATAGATGATACATATCCCAACTGAAGTGAGATGGTTTTTAAAGTAATTGTCATTCTTCAGTTAAAAAAAAAAAACATTCTAATGGTTTAATGATAAAATCTATGTTCTTCAGATGGCACAAGAGGCCTTTTACAATCTATGCCTAATGCTACTTTTTTTAGTATGAGAGAGATTCCAGTCACATTAAACTATTTGCAGTTTCCTATCTCAACTGTGTGGATCATAGTAAATTATGCATAACACTGAAAAAAGTGAGATCCCAGAACACCTAACTGTGCTCCTGCAAAACATGGACACAGACCAAAAAGCAGTTGTCTTAACAGAACAAGGAAATACTGAGAGGGTACTCTAGCGGCAAGAAGCTGAGCTGCAATCCTGAAGGCACACATTTCACTAAAAGGATGGGCATTTTTTCCCCATACAATTAACTGCCTCTGAAAACCCACTGGAGGGTCAGTTATGGGTCAGTTCTGATTTGATGATACACAACAATAACATACTGTTTAAAATCAGGAAATGTATGCATCAGGGTTACACCTTTTCTCCATTTCTATTAAATTTGTATGCTGAACAAATAATCCAAGATACTTGACTCTATGAAGATCATGGCATCAGAATTGGAGGAAGACTCATCAACAAATAGTAGCAGATGACTCAACCTTGCCTGCTCAAAGTGAAGACTTGAAGCACTGACCAAAGAAGTTCAAAGACTATAGCCTTCCATATGAGTTACATCTCAACAACAAGAAAACAAAAATCCTCATTACTGGACCAATCGGCAATATTAAGATAGATGGAGAAACAACTCAAGCTGTCAACAATTTCATTTAATTTGGAATCACAATCAACACCTATGGTTAACAGCAGTCAAGACATCAAAAGATGTACTGCACTGGGCAATCTTCTCTCAAAGACAGCATGGAAATGCTAAAAAACAAGGGTATCAGTTTAAAGAGCAAGGTGGGTCTGATCCAAGCAACAGTCTTTTCAACTGCATCTAAAAGTTGGACAAAGAATAAGGATGAAGAATTTATGCCTTTGAATTATGGTGTTGGTGAAGAGTACTAAATATACCATGGACTGACTGCCTTTGAGGAAATGTAGCCACAGCACTCCTCAGAGGCAAGGATGTTTTGTGGAACCTCAACACACATGCTGGGGGCATGCTCTCAGGAGTCAGTTATGGAAAGAGACATGCTGGAAAGGCAGAGAATTGGAAGTTAGCGAAAGAAAGAGAGGAAGCTCCTCAACAAGATGGATTGACATAAAAAAAAAAGATGGATTGACATAGTGACTGAAACAATCTCTGTGAATGAAACAGATAGTGACAATAGCACAGGACAGAGCAAGATTTGGATCTGTTGATCATGGGGTTCCTATGAGTCACAGCTGATTCAACAGCATCTAATAACAACAACTCAGGACACATTTTTGTGTCATTGTACTTTTCCAAGCTCTTTCTGCTTAGAAAGGACGTTAACCTTCAAGATGTTGCTCCATCATCATGTAGGCTTCCCAGTCAGCTGTTAACAAACTACCAATCCCTGACTCTTAACAGATGAGTCCATGAGCACAATGCTTTCACACAGTAATTACTCAATTTCCTGACTCTCTAGCCCTCACTTGTGCTTCTTATGGGCACATATTTTGCCTTCTTCTTCTTAATATCCCCAGCACATTTAACAAAGCTTGACAAACAGATACTCAATAAAGTCTCTTCAAATTAATGGTAACAGTAGTAATCATTTTTACCTTCCAATTGTAGCAGGATTTACAGCTGTAATAATAAAAAGTGATCCTGTCTGTAACACTGGTGATCTAATAACGATTACTCTGATACATGGAGGCCAAATTTTTTCATCTGTCAGGAGAAAAGTAGGTAAATACTAGTTAAAATTTAGGCTGAAAAATAATTAAGAGGTTTTGGGGAAAATTTTCTAATAGAGATGTTGGATTTTTGTTTTGTTTTTACCATTTCAGAATGACTAGGGACATTCTGTTAGAGGATTTAGGTGGAAGAACTGAACAAAAATATTAATTCTAAGTAAAACAAACTTAAATTCTGCTAAGGTATTCAAAAGGAGTAAGACAACATTGCAACAGTTTTGGTCAATGCTTTATCATTTTGTTAGAAAAAGTGAATCTATTCTTCATAAAAGGTGAAAAAGAAAGTTCAAAGCTTTATATTATAACATAAAATTCTGTTTAAAAATTGTGTCTTTTTGTTGTCAAAGGGAAAAATGTATTTACCATAATATCTATGTAGCTGACTTCATTTTACTTTTTAAAGAAAACTAACCTCTTCCCAACAGAGCTCTACTGGTATAGAGTTAAAGTACTTGGCTGCTAATCTAAAGGTCAGTGTTTTGAATCCACCAGCCACTAAGAGGGAAAAATATGGGCAATCCTCTCCCACGTAATCTGCAGGCTTGAAAATCCAATGGAGGGTCAGCTATAAGAGGGTCCCAAGTCAACATGAGTTTGTTTGCTTACTTACCATCTTCTTCTGTGTCGTCTGCAGTTACACTGTCTTCACTGGTAATATCTTCCTCAGAACTGTCCTCAGTCTGAGAGTCTGTAATTTCACCTTCTTCTGGCTCACTATCACTGTCTGTGATTTTCTCATCTTTAAATGATGTCAAATTATAGGTATTTTCATTAAAAGGCAATTCTGGGGTATTTCCACTAACTGAATCAGTGACTTTCTGAGAATTATTTTTGTAATGAATGTCTCTTCTGGACTTCTTTTTCACATTTGCAACAACTTCTCCTTCACTGTAGCTTATATGTTCAATGCTGGATGCATTTTGATCTTCTAAGTTCAAAGCCTGGAAAGCAGTGGGCAGGCAAGTAGGACGGGGGAAAAATGTCATCATCTTACATTTCATTTTAAATATTATAGTGAATAAGTGGAAAATGTTTTGGACATAAAATAATAGAAGTGATTTTAAAACATTTTCACAAATTCCCTGAAACTCCTCCCATGGGTCTATATCTTGACCTTACTAAGCCTGGTGGGCCAACAGATCTTAGTAACTCACTGGGCTGAAATAATGCTATACAGCATCCTGGGCTAAGTTAGGAAAAGTTAGGTTGCTTCTGCCAGGTTACTATGAGATACTTCAGAGGCTGACTGATGAGTCCAACTGGACTTCCAGCAATAAGCAACATCAGCTGTTAGATACCTTCTGGAGTCACCTTGGAGATGCGGTATACTTGTGCCTTCAGAGGACAGCAGCCCCAGCTGACATCTGACTGCAGCTACATGATACCCCTCCCAAGTGAAAACAGCTAGAATGCCTTACCAACCAGAGTACAACATTTTTTAAAGCTATATTAATATTTACAATACTCAAGTACTGAAATAAACCAGTATCAGTTGCCACCAAAAGAAGTTCACCTCAAAATGACACTATGTGTCAGAGCAGAATGTTTTAGAAACAGATTATCAGATCTTTCTTCTAATATGCCTCTTGATGGGCTCACAATTACGTTTTAGTTAGGAGCTGGGCACATTAATCCTTTCTATCACCAAGGGATTGAACAGTAAAATAATTTACTAAATGGTAATCTAATAGAACAATTCAACATACCCCAAAATAAACAATTACTTGCATACTCACGAAACCTAGAACAACACCTTTTAGAGGCTAAGACAAAATATAACCTATGTTTGATATAATCTGATTAACACTGGTCTTTGCTTTATAGTTCCCAAACCAATCTTGTAGTGCAATGTAGAATTTACTTTTGCTATTAATGTACTGTACTGTAATGTAATGTTTACTGTAGAATGCCAACAAAATCTTAAAACATAAATTTTTATTCAAAAGCAAATTAATTCATCTTTCACTTAATTGTATACAACTAACATGAAACATCAAGATACTTGTACATTGTGACATTTTATTTTCCAAAAATCTAAACTGATCAATGGGTGAAAAAACAGTTTATATTCAGCAATTTTATTTTTCTCTTATTTGGATTTTTAAAACATGAAACTGTTAGAATTCAGAGTTTCTAACCCAAGAACATGAATAATTTTTCGTTATTGATATCTATAAGCAATGTGTTTTCCAAAGAAGACTTTACCAATGTTATTTTAACCTATACTGGTCAACAACAAATATTTTTAGAGTTTGCTAATAGGTTACTTCTTAAATTTCTTCCCATGCATTTGAAAGCTGAACAATGAGTAAGGAAGACAGAAAAATTATTGATCCTTTGAACTATGGTGTTGGGAAGTAGCTAAGAGAATACGCCATCCCCTTTCCCTTATGAATCAGGGTGAAGTCTCTCTCAGGGAGGAGTGATAGGGAATGGCAAAGGACACACCGACAAAGGAGATTAATCAGAACTGACTTTGACAAGCACTGTGGCAACTGGACAATTAAAATAGACATTCGGATGGCGGGGAAGAAGAACAAACTGGGGAGGAGGGTAGAGAGAATGGTGCAGCAATGAAGGAATGAAAACCCAAAATCCCTGTAAATGTTCATTAAAACTAATAAAATTTAATAATAATTTAAAAAAATGCTTTCTTTTCAATTTTAACAAATGTCTTCATTCTAGTGACTGTGACTTGTGAAAAAGTCCATGTTTGCCACCACTAAAGCTAACTTTGATAGGGATATTTTGATGGACCATTTTATTGGATCTCTTTAAAAGAAAATAAATTATTTAGACTTATACTATGTAGCACTCAGAAACAACAATTTCAAAAAGTACTACCTAAGTTGGGTGAGAATGGAGAGCAGAATGCTGAGCAGTCTCTTAAGGACAAACAAATACTACATAAGACCATTACTGTAAAAATAGAAGGAAAACTAGTAAAACATGCACTGGGATCCAAGGGGGGAAAGGGTGGGAGTAGAGAGGTAAGGATGGGTGGGGGCGAAACCACAAGGTTGCAACTTTGGTGAGTGAAGGGAGGCAGTAAAGAAAATGGGAAAAATCCAGCAGGAACCTGAAAAAACAGGGTAATGGTGGGCATAGTCCAATAGTATTTAACTTTATAAAACATAATGCATGGGAATGACTGTATGAAACACAATGTGAATGAAGAATAGTGTGCAATGTATATGAACTTTATAAGCAAACCAATATGAATACTTTTTTAAAAATTGACTTATGCTATTATCAATGTATAATTAAAAAAAATAGGCATTACCTTTTCTTCATTTATTATAGAATCTATATCCTTTCTTTTCTTCTTCAATTTTTTATCTTTACCATGTTTTGTGCTAGAAGTTTGGTAAGTTTGCAAATCTACTCGAGAATGAAACTGATAGCGACCACTTTCCACATCACAGTAGTAATAAATTCCAGTAGAAGGATCATAATATAGTTGATTTTCCTTTTAAAATCAAGAAAACAGTAAGTTTTAATCATGTATGATGAAATAAAATGAAAAAAAAAAAAAACCAAACCTTAAAAAAGTCACATTCAAATATAGAACTTTTGTTGTTGTTGTTGTGTGCCGTCAAGTCGCCTGCAACTCATAACAACCCTATGTACAATAGCCCTAAACTCTGCTCTATTCTATGTCAATGACACTGTTTTCGATACACCTGTCCACATTACCCCAGTCACTGAATCAATCCATCTTATCCAGGGTCTTCCTCTCCTGCATTGTCCCTCTACCCTCCCAAGCATGACATCCCCCTCCAAGGACTGGTCCCTTCTTGGCAACATGTCCAAGTATGTCAGACGAAGCTTCAGAATCCTTGCCTCAAAGGAGCAGCCTGGCTTCACCTTCTCTAGGACAAACTTGTTAATTTTCCTAGCAGTCCATGGTATACACACATGCTGTTGTTATGTACTGCAGTCAACTCTCTATAACATAAAACTGCCTGTTCCTGTTCCATCCTCATGATTGTTGCTATGCTTGAGACCACCGTTGTCAGTCCATCCCATTGAGTCTTATTTGCTAATTCTTTGTCTTTATCAAACATGATGTCCTTTTCCAGGGACTAGTCCTTGCTTATCACACGTCCATAGAAGAGGTATTTTAGGGGAGCTCTGGTGGCCTAGTGGCAAGGAGTTGCAACTACACTCCCAGAGGCACACAGTTCGAATCCACCAGATGCTCTGCCGGGAAAAGGAGGGACAATCTCCTCCTGTACCAGTCAGATCTGATTTGACGGTAACTCACACAAAAAAAACCAAACAAAAAAAAACCCCAACAACAACAAAAAAAACCCACAAAAAAAAAGGAGAGGTATTTTAAGGAGATGACTCATGTAACTGTGGTGGCTGGCAAGTTCCAAATCTGTGGCTCAAGTGTCAGACTGGAGATTTCTTCTCACTCAAATTTTTGCAGGGGGCAATGATTCAAAAACTGGCAGGTAAGATGGCAGGCTGCTGGCTCACATCCCAAGAACTGGCGGTCAGAGAACGATGTGTTGTACAGAGGACTAAAAGCTTGAGATTTTTCCAGAACATTTTTATGTACTGGATTCAAGCAATATCCTCAAAGAAACTATACTTTCAACAAAGTGGCTATTCTACATCAGATAAAAAATGGTGAATCATTAGGTAATAGCAGCCAACCACTGAGAACCAGGCTAGCGAAGATGGCACATAAACATAATCATCAGAGTTTACCAAGTGCAGATTGAAAGCTAAAGAAATACCTTGTTTTAGCTGAAATGTTTAGTGCAATGATGTTTCCTAGATCAAGTAACAACACTTCCATTAGCTGGAATAGCAAACGGTTTGCACAATTTTGGAGCACTCTAAGCTGCCACTTCCTAAAGATCATATTCCTGCACCTTTGAAGTTATGTGTGCGTGTGAGTTCATCATTATTACCATATCTTGAATAAAATCCAACTAAACATTAAGATTTTAACAGCTGTAACACTGCATCATAAATCAAGAACTTTATTTTCTAGTTCTTAGTGATACATTATATTTCTGATTCTATGTTAAACCACTGTGAACAGATTAAGAAATATTAAAAATTATAGAATATAAAACACTGACATATAAAACACATACTACCGAGAATTCAAGAGAAAGACTCCCTCTGGAGCAGCAAATATATTAAGTAACAATTTTTAAAATAAATTTTAAAATTCTCACCCAGCGCCTAGGATGAAAAATTTCACTTTAAGTTAGATAAAAAGAACTAAGTTTTAAAATCTTTTATTACTCTTAAAATAATGAAGTTAGTTACATGCTTTTATTAAGAGAGCACCTTAGCATCTTAATAGGCTACTTTATATATTAAAAAGTATTCCGAACCAACCAAAAACCTTTCTCTAAGCTGTAAAGTTGACTGCAAGGCAGTGAACCCATGGGAAAGAGTAGATTTACCCCTTAGTGTCTCCTAAGTTGTCCAGCTGTGCAAAGACATCTTTACAAAAGCCATCCCTCTGTGAAACAATTGTGTGGGTTTATATCAAAGCACTTAACCACTGAGGCCACCACGGCTCCAAAACTTGAATAAACTATTCAAAAATACTAATCTAGAATAATCACAATTGACAATTTACTCTATTTAATAAAGATTTAGAGGTACAGTATCACAAATTATCTTAAAATTTTTTCCTTTGACTCACATTAATTTTTAAGTAATAGGTTTTTGCTTTTCTTCATGTGCTTAGGACTTCATATTCAGTATTATGCAATCAGCTATATAACCACAAAGCATCAAAAGTTCTGCAATACTTACAGAATCATAGTAGAAGCCAGTACTATGGTCAAAATATAATCCAGTATTTTCATCATAACTAAATCCAGTCTGTGACACAGCAGCTTCTGCTGCTGCTCTCAAACTTTCAGCTAATGATGAACCTTGTAAGGAAGTATCTTCTGTTGCTAACACAGATGCTGACTCCTAAAAAAGACAGAGTCATGAGAAATGAGACAAAAGCTTCTGTATATTAGCTTAAAAGTTAGAATTCAAAACAACAGACTTAAAAAACTATTCTTAAATAAGAGTTCAATATCCACAATGGAACAAAGGATGGCTACTGGTTACACGTAGATCCATTTTTTTAACTAGTATAGGCTAATAATTTCTTTTTGGTCCATTTTTGAAAGCAATAAAAGCTAGTAAGTGGCAATTATTCAAAAGTCAATGTATGATACCCGAGAAAACCAAAGCACAAAATTAAAAACCCTGAAAATTTTATAGGACAAATGATCTAGACAATTCAATAATTAATGTTCACTAATTAAATCCTCAAAAGGAAGCAGTTCAGTACTTAAGTGTTCAAAAAGGAGAAACAAAAACATTTTAAGAGAGGAGAAGCAAGCTAAAGGTCTAAGCAGCTTTGAGGGGCATAGTCCATAAGGTCCATAGGCAGCTGTGCAGGTTAAGTGTTGCACCTTGCTGGTGGCTCAAACCCACCAGTGACTCCACAAGAAGACAAGAAGTCTCATGTGTGATTTAAAGCCAGTGGAGGTTCCCACTCAAGGGCCATGAGAATTCAGCACACAATGACCAGTTAACACTCTGGGATTTATTGGGATTCTGATTTTTAAAAAAGTGTAAAAAAAAAATTAAAAAACCATTATAGAAATTTGATTGAACAATCGCATGTGATATCAAAGAGACATTAAAAAAGGTTAGCATTAAAATGGTTTGGGTTAGGTTATGGAGAAACTGGAACCCTTATTCACTGTTAGTGGGAGTGTAAAATGGTGCAACCACTGTGGAAGCAGGTATGGCGCTTTCTCAAAAAGTTGCAAATAGAGATACCATTTAACCCAGCAATTCCAGTGCTGGGAATATACCCCAAAGAGACCATAACTCACATCCAAGCAGATATATGCACACCCATGTTTATCGCGGCTTTGTTCACAATAGCAAGGAGTTGGAAACAACCTAAGTGCCCATCAACAAATGAATGAATAGAGAAGCTGTGGTATACTCACACAATGGAATACTACACTGCATTGAAAAATAAGGAATCCATGAAATATTTTTCAAAATGGGT